CCCCAAAACCCCAAAACCCCAAAACCCCGCGAGTATAAAAGTTAAAAGATAAACTAGTCACATGAAATAATGAAAATAGAAGAAATTGAATTATATGAATTTGAAAATGATAATAAACTAGATATAGCTACTAACAATAATTCGGTTACATGTAAGTAAAAAATCAAAGGGAGTTGTTTGAGAAACAATAAAACTGACAATTAGGATGTGTAAACATACAAAATCAAAGTTCTTAATCAGCATATAAAACATGATATTTGAAAAACAAGGCTAAAAAATTCTCAATTTCTTGTTTGTCTCTGATGGCATTAATAAAGTCTATCCTTAAGTAAAAGATTAAAAATTTAACAGATTAATAGCTTTGATAAAAATGAACAATAATAATATTAGATTAAACTTGGACTTGATGAAGTTTCTAGCAGCTATCTAATTTAAGACATAACCTTAACCAGAGCAACAGGTTCATGATTTATAAAAAAATAATCTTAATAAATCTCTTAAGCTGAAGTTTGTTAGAAGACATAAATCTTAAAAGCAGAAAGTCATCCTATTCGATCAGTTCAAAAAAACATAGGAATGGTCTCGAGAATTGATAGAACAACTTTCTTTAGATTTGAACCTCACTCCTACATAAATTTATAAATGGTACTATGACAAGATAAATTATAAGAGAAAGAAGAAAGACAAAAAATAATGTGGTATAAAATTCATTCATTAAGAAAGAGCAACGATTTCTCTTGTTTAAATTCTGCCAAAGGATATATGATGATTACAGTGTACTATGATTAAAGTGAGTACATTATAATTAGAAGTCTGCATGATCATTTTAGAAAGACTTTACATAATGATAGTTTTTATTCATTTAAAATCTTAAGCATGTTTCTTTCAAGAAGCATGATTTTTAATTTTACATATGCTCTTGTTAATTCAAATAAGGATTCATATATAATAAGTAATAACTTAAATATTCATTTATTTAGATTAATGACGAAATCTTGAATATATAATGCGATTTGGGGTTTTGGGGTTTTGGGGTTAAACTTATCCTCTTTAATCTTT